AAAAAATCGTAATTGAGTAATTCAAATTTTGAATTGGTTTTTGTAGGGTGCAGGGCTGGAAAATTTGGGTAACACATGTTTTATCAATGCCGTGTTGCAATGTTTTACTCACACTGTTCCATTTGTTTTGGGTCTTCGATCTTTGAATCATGAGAAGCCTTGTGCTCGTACGACTCTTGCTTAAACATCTGTTTGTTTATTTCCTTCGGGGGTTATCTAACTATTTTGGTATATTGGAATTGTCAGGTAGTGTTGAGAGTTTTTGTTTACTTTGCGCTCTTCACGATCACATTGAGCTTTCGTTGAATTCATCAGGAGGAATCGTGTCGCCTTCCAAAATTTTTGACAATTTGAACTGTATCCTTTTTTCTAATTATCTCCAAATTTCTTTGTTTATGCTTGATTATTTTATGAATTAAGTTTGGCTACAGTTCTAGATGCTGAAATTATCCATAGGTTCTGATTTCACATTGAATTTTAGTCCATTCAACATGATATAGTTAGTTTTTTTTCTTTAATTTTTATAATTTGATGAAAGTGCCATATTTGCTATTCATTTGCTTGGAAAGGTGTATTTGAAGCATAGAGAGGTGACTTATTGAAAAAAGAGAAGAGGAGAGAAGTGTGTTCTTAATTGCGATTCTTGACTCATATGAAATGCAGATATCTCATCTTTTCTTTATAGATATGAACAGGAAGATGCTCATGAATTCCTGCAATGCTTGTTAGATAGGCTTGGTAGCTGTTGCTCAGACTCAAAGCCCAAGAACAATTGTTTGTCCTCTACAGATGACTGCCTAGTTAAGAAGGTTTTTGGTGGTCGTCTTGTTAGCCAGGTATGAATGATGCAACTTGATCTCATTTAGCCATTTCTATAGAAGTGTTTGCTTCTGCCCTCCAAAGTTTGTGTGCAATCCTTTTTTCCTTTTTAGGATACACTAGAATGTAGTCTTTTATTGACTATTCCTTACATTGATGGTTTCAGCTATGTTGTTGCAACTGTGGTTACATTTCCTACTCTTATGAGCCTTTGAATGACCTGAGTTTGGAGATTGAAAATGTGGACACCCTTCCAAGTGCTTTAGAGTCTTTCACCAAGGTGGAAAAAATTGAGGATCAGGGGGCAAAGTTTAGATGTGAGAATTGTAAAGAAGAGGTGGCAGTGGAAAAACGGCTTATGCTGGACCAGGCCCCTTCAGTTGCAACATTCCACTTGAAGAGATTTAAGACTGAAAGTGGATACGTTGAGAAGATTGACAAGCATGTGTTCTTCCCACTGGAGTTGGATTTGCAGCCTTACACTATTTTCAATCAGAGTAGTAATGTGAGTAACACCTTTTATGACTGGACCTATAAGATCTCTTGTCAAATGAAATAATGATAGCCTGGTTTGAAGTACTTTTATGTTTAATATTCTTATGACCGAGCATACATGATCTTTTGGATTAGTGAGCATTCCACAGACAGATAAAATTGATATCTAATTAGCCATTTGTTTTTGAAACTTGTCTCATTTGTTCTCCTTTTGCATTAGGAGGAACTGAAGTATCAACTATATGCAGTTGTGAAGCACTCTGGATTTACACCTACTTCTGGACATTATGTTTGCTACATTCGGTCCTCTCCAGCTATGTGGCATAAGTTGAATGATTCAAGGGTAATGATTGACAAATTTGTTCTATATATAACTTAATTTCTATTTTTTTTCTAAAGACAGAGACCATGATTGTGAACTAGTTGCAATATATATTTCTTGATGAATTTTTTCTTGCTTATTAAGGATATGTTAGAGAGGGTTTGATTTCCCCAATGTTTTAGAAATATAACTTGTTCTTCAAGCTGTTTCAATTTGATAAATATTGACATTGTAAAATTTTCCAAGTGTCAAATTTAAAAGGCCTTATAGGTTATACTTTATGGATTTCATGAATTCGAAAATTATTTATATGATTACTCACGGACTAGCATTTTGATGGAGCTTCACTGAGTAGTGCACAATGGCCATGTTTTTTTTATCTCTTGTAGGTTACTAGAGTTGAAGAAGAAGCTGTGCTTTCTCAGGAAGCCTACATTTTGTTCTATGCTAGGCAGGGTATACCGTGGTTTTCAACTGCAATAGAAGTACAAAAGCCTTGTGCAGAACCCAGTATACCTGATTCTTCACCAAAGTCTGTTCTAGATAACATGGAAATGGAATGTCCCTCTGATCCCCATGTGAAAAGTAGAGCTAATTGTGGTGCCAATGAATCTAAGGATGTTCCTGGTAGAATGTCAACTCAGTTCTCTAGGGAAACACAAAATGAAGTTAAGGTTGATGATCTACATGTTGCTGTTGAGGGGATTTCTGGATCACCTCCTAATGAATCAGAATTTCATGTACCAAAGTCCATTGATTTCATAGATGATAATCCTATGACCGGTGCTTCTATACCACCAGGGCCAAGTAGTTGTTCTGATGGATTTGATAAAAATATATCTAATGTGTCTCATCATGGGGAAGACAACGGCAATCAGAGTGTTGATGAAGTTGCAAATAATAATACTTTCCCTTTGATGCCATCCAGACCTCAATGCCTAGATAAGTGTCAGAGGGACTCTTCAGGTAAAGGAATTCGTTTTTATTAAGTTGGTCACTGGATATGCTTTTTCCTAGGATAGCATGATGACTAAATGGTTACTTTTTCAGAATGTGTTCCGCGTGGTCATTTTAAAGACGAGAATCGTGGCATTCATCGAAGAGCAGTCAACAGGACTGCTGTGGATCAAGGAAGAACTGAAGCAATGAGATATGCCAAAAGGATGCCTACTGCACGAGGTGCAAAATTTATGGCTCTGCTGGCTCCACAAACTGTAGGTAAAATGAAGAAAAGAGCAGGATCATCTCCTTGCAAAAGGGTCAGCCCTCGCCGTAGAAACAACCATAGTCTTATGCACCCTGTTTCTGTCTCACGCTGAACTGTTTCTGACCATGTTTGCTTAACCTAATTGGTCGCTTCTTGACCATCAGAGAGCTAATACATTTTATGCACAATATTATTAAGGAGAGAAAAGGATTGATCTTCTGCTGGTTTTCTTTGCATGTCAGAGAAAATGTAAAGTTTAGGGTTTTGTTTGGGAAGTAAATATCTTATGGCATTTTGTTTATATAGTTAATTTTTTTGGTAAGAAGTTAAAATGTAGTGTTTTATTTATTATTTGCTTTCTTATGAAATAAATTAAAAGGTTAGAAGCTTCCCTTTATCAAGAACTATGATTAACATGGTGAGTTCCTTTTCACTGTATTCTAGCATTGAAATTAACAACAATTCTAACTTAATCAGATAAGTTAACTAGGAGTTTTAGCAGGATGTTTCATTGGGTTGGCACCATGAAATTTCTTCATTGGCATGACGGAAATACTTAGGATACTTTTCCTGGTGTTTACAACCTCCCTTTAACTCCTTCAAACGATAAATTCTAGAGTCTGGAACCTAAAACTTAGACAAAATTTTCTCTATTCTCTAAGAATCATGTTGGAGGTTTCGTTATTGTTGAAAAACAATCTAGATTGTGTCAAAAATACCAAGTAAAACTCCATGGTTCTGCCCATGGCTTTGATCTTTCCAATCCTGACAAATCAAAGGGACATGATATAAAAGGATGACAAGGGGTTTTCACAATTCCCTTCCCTTCTTCATCGCTTTTTTGAAGCATTCGTTCGTACGTGGCAGCAAAAATTAGAACTCTTTGTCAGATCTAGAGGAAAACGTAATTACCTATCGCTGCCAGGGTTTATGGGAAAGAAGAAGGGTTCAAAACTGGCAAATGAACTTAGTTCACCTGGATCAGCAAACGTTCCTAAGGATGTTGTGATAGTCATGGATGGCCTCAAGGAATTCACCACGGAGCTGTTAGAATGGGTGCTTGAAAACATTATAGCTTCCGGTCACAGAGTCACCCTCCTTGGTTTCATGCCTTGGTTGAACATCCCTTGTAAGTAACTTTCTTTTTGACAGAAAAGTAAATTAGACCAACAAATCAAACCTATTTAGAAGCTGCTTGTGCTGGCTGCAGTGTCTTCGAAGACCTGGCAAGATGTTTGGATGCTGGAGTTCGAGCACTTGTCTCTTATAAAAGAGAAGAAAGAGTGGAAGAATGATGCCAAATATCTAAAGCTCCAAGCAGTGCTCGACCTTTGCGGAAAACATGGGGTATTGAATTTTGAACTCTACTGGCTCCTGTAAGAATACAGGACTGTCCATTTGCCAATATGGTATGCTTTACAATAACTGCAATCAACATTTACCTGCAGGTGGTGCCTCAGAAAGAGATCGTAATGGGGTATCCCCTCCCATTGCTCATTGTCGAAAGAATTATAAGCCTTCGTGCAACATGGGTTGTTTTCGACAGGTGACTTTTGGAGATAGAAACCATGTTTTTAATTTGTTTTCAGCTAGATGTTTCTTGTTTTGATCCATACCAGATTATCTATTTCTGATATGCAGCAACCGGGAACTGAGAAAGAACAGGGAATTCTTTGCTGCAAAAATACCCTGCAATATGGTAATGATGAGTGAGGAAGGGGACATGGATATGATCAAAGGGCGTCCCATGATTGATAGTGGAGAGCGCACTCCCAGTGATCAATCTCCAAGCTCGTTGGCTCCTACTCCGCTGGTAATTTATTCTGAACCTTTGAAACGAATTCTGGAGGAGAAGGAGCTAGATACAGACGATGATGATTAGTTCTTTCTTGAGTTACTGATGATATAACCTGAGTAAAGATATATAGTAAAACTCCGCGTAGGATGTAAACGTGACAAAGCCATGGCCTATGGCTTTGTTTTTTCAGCCAACCAGAGTTGTACTTACCCCGCCCCCTTCCAAACTAGTTTATTTTCCCCTTTTCTCTGAACATTTTCTTCTGCAATAATATGATCGAGCTTTTGAATATGAGGTCCGTAATTCCTGTATAAGCAATATTGTAAGCCGAGTTGTACCTGTTAACAGGCTCCGAATCCAAGTTTTGATCGATCGGATGGCTTTATATCGAGAATGATTCATTGGATTCATGGAATTTAACAACCCGGCTAGCATATATCTACAGCCAACTCCAGCTAATATAAGAAAATGAACTCTGCTGAACATCGAAAATCCTCGAATTGGCTTAAAAAATTAAGGTAACCAATGAAAAAGCCTCGGGTCCTCTATCATGGTGTTGCCAGGACCTGTTCTTTCCAATTCCTTCCAAGAACAGCGTCACAATTTGAGTGATTCTAATCAGTTTTGACTGTAAAAAGATTGCATTGCTATTCCATATTTGCTTAAAGTTGAGACTCTAATACTGTACAGTTGCCTGGTGCATTCAGGTCAACAGTTGCTGGGTGGAACTGATTACCTAATCAAAAGACATAGGGATTGCCTTTTGCTTAGTTTCATCATTCTCTTTAGTGCCTTGGGCACACCTTTGGCATATGTGCAGTTGATTATTCACTGTTTTTGTCAGAACTTGTTATCTAGACCATTATGCTCTGGGAAGAGTAAGCTGAACGTCTGATTTCTTATGAGAAACAGTCTTAAGCTTTACTACAGATCATTGACATGCTTTGTTGATGGTTTACATCAAGAAATTCATGTACAACATTCTTCAGATGATCGATAACCATCACTGGTCCAACATAAAACATTTTACCATTCACATCACAGTGGCTAGCTTAGATTATATGGCGCATTCTTCACTATTCACTCTGAAAGTGAACGGAGATTATATGGCTAACTTTTACAGTCCGGTTAGCTTCTAGTATTTCAAGTTTTTACCTCAAAGATTTTGAGTTAAATCAAAGTGGGAGGCAAAGGACAAATGAAGAAGAAAAGTTGAAAAAGAATTTATTGAACAGCACCCGTTTCTGTCGCCTAAGGAGATGATGGAGAGACAAGTCAATGACAATCTTATCCCACTTGAAAACAGAGGATTGCACTGGATGAT